CCATCCCCCACCAAGAACCACTGATTAACTATAGCTCTTAATTGTTCAAAGGAAAAAGTGGATTATCAGCAAGGGCAAACATGGATAACTAGAAGAAATGATCCAAGAGCCTCCTCTTTCTCCCTTTCTTCTGTAAAATCCTTAGGTCCGCTTTAAAAAGAAAGAAAGAAAGAAAGAAAGAAATGATCCAAGAGGTTAAAAAAAATAAAATGAAAGCTCTCGAAAGAACTGAAAAGAGAGTAAGTAAGCTTTTTTTTGGGGGGGTGGGGCTAGGCATTAGGGTTAAGTGACTTGCCCAGGATCACACAACTAATAAGTGTTATGTGTCTGAGGCTAGATTCGAACTCAGGTCCTCCTGACTCCAGGGCTGGTGCTCTAACCACTGCACCACCTACCTGCCCTGGAGAATAAATAACTTAAAAGAGAAAGTGGTCTGATCTGACTGTCCTCAACTTTGGCATCTTAAATGGCTTTTCAACACCTGTTAAGCATGTGGGAGATTGAGATGTTAGCATCCTGATTGAATTGAAAGTTCCATTGCCATTAATGTTGAAAATAGATCATTAAAGAAATAATGACATATCTGTTCTGACTTCAATTTTTTTATCATCCTTCTGCTAGTTTCATCTTTGAATGATTTGGGGATGATGTGACTCAGGTCTCATACCAAGCTTTCTATAAACTTGTGTTTTCTTCCATTGCTTTTTGCTGTTTTTTGAAATAATACTAGTCATATTCTTCTGACATCCTCCTGTGTATTATTTTGTAAATGTGTTTATATTTTAAATAGTATTGTCTTTGGTTGCTATGTCTCTCCACTTGATAAGTGCTGATTATGTGGTTTCTTTTTGCTTCCTTGGGGTGACTGTCTTATCTAAGTTAAATTTTTACAGGAAATTGTAATTATTTTAGACCGGAACTCTAAATTCATTGGCATAAGTAATTTCAAATGAGGAAACTCCCTCTACCAATTTGGTTTGGTCCTTAGTATGCAATTTACAGTCTTACAGAGTTGCCTGAGGCACTGAGAACTTAAGAGACTTGATGAGAGCCACACAGCCAGTATGTATCAGAGGCAAGACCTGAACCCAGGTCTTCCTGTCTTTAATGTTGTCTCTCAACTCTATTATGTCTCAGGAAATAGTAATGATCCAGGGAAAACAGAGGCAGCTAGGTGCATTGTGGACAGAGTGCTCAGCCTCAGACACTTATTAGGTGTTTGACTTTGAGCAAGTTACATAACCTCTGTCTGCGTCAGTTTTTTTTCTGCTGTAAAATGGGAATTATAATTGTACCTACCTCCCAGGGTTGTTGTGAAGATCAAATGAGATAATATTTGTAAAGTGCTTAGCACAGTAGAACATATACATACTTAATAATTGCTTAGTCTCTCCCACCCCCTAATAATTTGATCTTTTTACGTCTTTTTTTTTTTTTGGAGAGAACATTGATGAGTCATTTGAATATGCCAGACTGAAATTGTTGCAAGTACCTGCTCTGTCTTCTTCCTCTTCCTTATCCTTCTAATTTGATGTTGATTTTGACCTTTGCTTTAACTAATCAGTGGCTTGATCTCATAAACAGCTGATTCTAATATGAACCTTATATCAGTAACCAGTCGTTTACGTTTGAGATAAGAATCAGTTTCATTTTGAGAGTGCTCTATGCCTAGGACCTTCCAACTCTTTTCTGGAAGAAAGTATTTCTGTTACATAATCATGAAACCTTTGAATTGACTGCAAGCCTTTGACTTTTTGTTTTTTAAATCTAAGCCATGTTTTCCAACATATTTTTCACCATCATTCCCTGAGACTATCTTTGTAATGAAGTAACCACACATCAGAGTATGTGGACTTGGTTTAAGGCATCTTGTCAAATTCTTTTTAGAATTTCCCTGCCTCTTTATCCTTTGCGATAGTGTTGGGATACAAATTTTCTTCACCTTTACGGTGGTCTTTTTGCTTGTTCTTAACATGAATACTGCATGACAAGGTGATGTCATATGAGATGGTGTTTCTTATTACTTTTTGGTAAACAATTTCTATGTCAATTTCTTTATTTGCCTTTCCAGTGAAAATTTGTGATCCACCCTTCCATTTAGTTCAAATATCCTTTTGACTTCTGATTTCATTTAAAGCAAAAATTTCATGGTTGATATTGTTTAGTTCTTCCAAGAACCAATTGGTGTATTGGCTACTGGATAAAGGTCTTCCATTCTGGGTACTTCCAGTTATATTTATAGATAGTCTAAAAATTATGATACTTCATGTCCACTACCCCTTTCTTCCGCCACTGCCATTATCACTTCAAAAGTTTTTGATGTCTACCTGGGAATGAGTCATTTTTGTTTAAATTTTTATCTTGGGTTGCCATGACCAAATAATTTAAGCCTTGCCCCACCCCTCATAGTGCCGCCTACAGATAAGCTTCTCAGGACTTGGCTATTTACGTCTTTGGGTATCAAATTCTTTCTATCACCAAGACAGTATTTGAAACCTCTCTGGGCAGCTTGGTGGTGCAATGGAAAAAGCACTGGCCCTGAAGTCAGGAAGACCTGAGTTCAAATCTGGCCTCATACACTTGATACCTGATAGCTGCGTGACCCTGGGCAAGTCACTTAACCCTATTGCCTAGCCCCCCCCCCAAAAAAAAAGATTTGAAACCTCTCTAGCATGGTAGAACCTGCCAAAGCTTATATTTGAATGGCATAGCTTTCAAGAACCCAGAGTCACCTCCATTTCACAATGAGGTATCCAGGTAGGACTTCATAAAGAAAGCTTAGAAATAATCTAGAGAGTGTGTGAATTATTTGTTCTTTTAAATTTTTTCAATTTTCTTTATAAATCTATTTGGTCTTAATATCTTAAAATTAATATCTTAAAAATTATTGAAATATTTTGTTTTTATATCAACTGAATTTCTGAATATATCTTAGTCCAATCTCCTATCTTTCAAGCTATCTCTTGTAACAATGAAGCATTTAAAAAGGGGTAGAGAGAGCAGTTCTGAAAACTAACCAACACATCAATTCATATATTAATGGTAAATGAAATGTTGCACATCCATAGTCTTACACCTCCGCAAAGAAGAGGGGGAGGTACATTTTCTCACCTCTTCCATAGAGACAAATTTGGTCATTATAATTCCACAATGTTCCATTTGGGGGATTCTTTTCCTTGTTCTGTCTTTTTTCTTTTCTCATTAATTTATTTTTTATTTTCAGTTCCAGATTCTCTCTGTCCCTTTATGCGTCCTCCTCCCCTTATTCAATCTCTACAGAAACCTTGTGAGATATGTAGTGAAGACAGTATTATTCACATGCTATAGATGAGGAAACTGAGGCTCAGAGATATTAGATAACCTGTTTGAGTGATAGAACTACAACTTGATCCCATACTTTGTGACACCAGTCATCCCAGTGCTCCTTCATCTCTATATCATGTTTCTCCTTCAAAGCAATTAAGGAACATACATTGTTAATTGTGCAAGTACAATAGGATTTCAAGGAAGGATGTGATCACTGGGTGATGGAGGAGTGGGTGAAGATTTTCTGACAGCCTTCCATTTTAGAGTCTGAGAAACTCAAAGACCAGCTGGATTAACAAGTGAATTCTATTAAACATTCAGAGAACAATTAATTCCGATATCACATAAATTATTTGCAAAAATAGCAACAAAAAAAAGGATTTTACTTTATCTCTTCTATGACATATATATAGTCTTGATATATAAACCAGGGGGAATCAAAACCAAATAAGAAAACTACAAACCAATATCCCTAATAACATAGATGAGAACATTTTTAATGAAATTTTCACAAAGAGGTTAAAGTAACCTATCACAGAGGTTATACACTTTGACCAAATTGGGTTTAATACCAAGAATATAGGATTGGTTTAATATTAGGAAAACTAAAAACTGAATGAATCATATTAATAACAAAATTCACAAAAACCAGGATTAATTATATCAATAGATTTAGAAAGAGCTTATGATACAATATAACAGCAATTTCTGTTTATTTTTTTAATTGAAAAAATAGGAACAAATGGATTGTTCCAATCGATAAGATTTTTTTTTTTAACCAAGAATGGAGGACAGTGTTATGTAGTGAGTCAGACTGACCTTGGAGTCAGGAGAGACCTGGATTGAAATCCCAGCTCCAGTAATGACCATAACCCTAGAAAATTAGATAGAGGCAAGGATGTTTGATCTGGAGAAAAGAATCTTTTCTTTGAAGTGGGTTGAGGAGGCCAGGGTGGGCAAAGCCACAATAATTGTCTTCAAGCGTTTGGGGATTAGTTGTATGAAAGGAGGATTAGATTGTTGTACTTGGCCCAGAGTGTAGAATTAGGAATGGGGGAATTTGGTTTTGATATAAGGAAAAATTTGTTAATGATTAAATCTACTCGACTGCCTCAGGAGGAGGCAAGCTGCTCTTCACTGTAAGTTTTGAAGTCTCATTGGACAGCTACATATTAAGAATATCATTGGAGAGATTCTTGCTCAGAACTGGGCCCAGATAGATGAGCACTGAGATTCTCTTCCACCTCTATGATTATGTAAATGTTAATTCTCAAACTTTCCAGTTGATTTATTTGCTGGGCAAAGTACCCTGCAATATACATTATATTTGCAAAAAAGTTTTATGTGGCTTTTAGCTGAGTGGTTTGTTTTTTTTTTAATTATTCCTTCAGGGTTTCCTAACCTGCTTAGATCATTGGCCCTTAGTTGGATCAGAGAGTTATCTGTAGTCATTCCACAGGGTTCCTTCCAATGATCTTCCTTTCACTTTACTCTAATTTACAATTTTGAAAACTCTTATGAGATTATGATGAGAGTATTTCTTTTTACTTCTCCTTTTGTTTCCTGGCCCAGAGGCCAACATTTCAGAAACTTTCCATTCTCTGCTTATTTGTACAGACTGGTCTCCTCACAATCTTAGACTTTCTCTCCTTCACTAGCTCTGATGCAATATTTTTTTTCTCTCATGCCCACAGTGTCCCCAATTTCTCAGCACAATCGGCTATGACAGCATTATTCAGCATCTGAATGAGGGCCGAAAGAACTGCAAGGAATTTGAAGATTTTTTAAAAGAAAGGTACAGTGCCATCTCCTGTAAGAAGACACCACTGGGGAGAATCTCCCCTCAATCAGTGAGAGTTTACTGAGCCCCTATTGTGTTCAGCACTTTGCTGAGAACTGTGGAGATTATAGAAATATAAAACTTGGTCCTTGCCTTCAAAGAATTTATAAGCTAGAAAAACAAAACAAAAAGCCCCAAACTATCTATATGAATACTTCTACTACCATTTAGTCTACACTAGTTACTTCCACTTACTGTCCTCTCATTCCTCCACCATTTATAATCTGGTTTCTGACTTTATGACTCAGTGGAAGCTGCTTTCCTAGCAGCTACCAATAATCTCTTTTGTCTTGTTTTGTTTTGTTTTTTGACTGGGCAATAGGGTTAAGTGACTTGCCCAGGGTCACACAGCTAGTGAGTGTAAAGTGTCTGAGGCCAGATTTGAACTCAGGTCCTTCTGACTCCAAGGTCGGTGCTCTATCCACTGCACCACCTAGCTGCCCCAATGTTTTTTGTTTTTTGTTTTTTTTTTGTGAGGCAATTGGGGTTAAGTGACTTGCCCAGGGTCATACAGCTAGTAAGTGTCAAGTGTCTGGGCTGAGACCAGATTTGAACTCAGGTCCTCTTGACTCTAGGGCTGGTACTCTATCTACTGCACCATCTAACTGCCCCCCAATAATCTCTTAATTGTCATTTCTTATGACCTCAGCCCTCCTCCTTATTAATCTTTGTGCAGCATTTGATACTGTTGACCACACTTTCCCCTTGGATATTCCCTCTAATTTGAGTTTTTGTAACACTCCTATTTTTTCCTTTTCTTCCTATGAGTCTGACCAGTCCTTCTCAGTTTCTTTTCAGAATCACCATCTATGTCTCCTAAAGTGGTATACCCCACGGCTCTGTCTTAGACCCTCTTTGCTACTCTCTACACCCTCTCACTTGGTGATCTCCCATAGATTTAATTATTCATCTCTATAAAGATGACTATCCACACATTTGCCAAATATTGCCATTTTACTTCCACAACATCTCTTCCATTTATCTCTTTCTACTTATACAGCCACCACCCTAGGTCAGACCTTCTTTGCCTCTCACCTGTGCTATTGTAATAGTCTAATAATTGGTTACCCTGTCTTAAATCTCTTCCCACTCAATCTGTCTTTCCCATAGTGGCCAAAAGAATTTTCCAAATGTACTAGTCTGACTCTGTCATTCTCCTATTCAATATACTCTAGTAGCCCCACAGTATTTCTAGAATCAAATATAACCTCCTATGTTTGCTCTAAAGTCCTTCACAGTTTGGTTCCAACCAACCTTTTCTATCTTTACTACAAACTATTCCTCTCCATTCACACTATGATCCAGCTCCACACAATATGAATCTTCCTATTTTTCCTTACGTATAACATTCAATCTCCTGCCTCCATGTCTTTGCACCAGCTGTCCCTCATGCCTGGAGTGTATTAACTCCTCAGCCCTGTCTCTTAGAACCCCTACTTTCCTTCAGAACAGCTCAAGCTCTACTTTCTACATTAAGTCTTTCCTGTTCCCCTAACTGCTGGCATCTTTGCCACAAGGTCACCTTGTATCTATTTTGAATATATTTTATAAATATCTATATATGAACTGATTTCATTTTTTCTTTCTATTATACAACATCTATGTCTTAGCAATATGATTTTAAAATACAAATGGTGTTCCCTTTAAATCTTGTATACTTAACACATTCCTCCCCCAATAAATATACAGTGAGAACAATAGCAGTCCTACTCCATTAAGACAGAACACTGAGATTCTTTTTTTTAATGGCAAGATGATACAGTTGCAAAATATTGATTGGGGGTGGGGGGCACAGTAAATTTTAAAGCCATCTACCAGGTAGTGAACTATACTAGTGATGAGAATACTCATGGAAATAAAATTACTAATTCTTTAAGTATTACATATATTCAAATATTAAGGATAGAAAGTACTTCTAGGCACTTAAGTTATGATCCTTGTTCTCGCAGTGTTTAATCAATTACATAACCATAGGACAGAGGGTTTTCCTTTCTTGAACATGTAGTAGGCTAGCACAATGCCTAGCGTGGTGCCATGTCCCTTAGTCAGAATGTGTGCTAAATTAGTCTGTATCCTAATATGACTTTTTAGCTTTGCAAGTATCCAGAACTGATTTGCCCGTGTGCTTACTGAAAATGTATCTAGTTTACCTTTCTATCATTGTGGAAGATATTTGGAATAAGCCCTTTTTTATTGCTCATTAAGCATAAATAACTTCAACTTGGGCAGATGACTGTGTGGTAAATAGCTGTGTAATTTGTGTTCCTTGATTAATTGCCAGCATGGAGCAATATATCTTTGATTGCCCTTTGAAACTTCATACTAAGTATTGCCAGTCTTATTTCTTACTAATTCCCATGCTAGAACTTTCTGCTCTGGTCAGGATGGTTTTTTCACTGTCCTCAAACAGATCTTGTCCTTTTCCACTTCTTTGTCTTTGCTCATGATATTTCCCATTGCTTTGAATTCCCCTCCACTTAACTAAATCTTATACATCTTTCAAGCCCTATAGAGTCTTATGTCTTTTTCGTAGTTTTCCATAATCACCCTACTCCAGAAAATCATAAGATTTAGAGCTAGAAAGCCCTTACGAGTTCTAGTCCAACCCTTTCATTTTATTTCTTTATTTTTTTTGGTCAACCCTTTTATTTTAGAGAGGGAGAATTTAAGGCTTATAAGAGTTGAAGTAACTTGCCCAACGTCATATAGGTAGTAAGTTGTATAGCTGGTGTCAAATAAGTGTGGCATGGTGCTACTGACCCATACCCTCCAACTCTTCTGATTCCATGGGCTGAGGCTGATTTGCTTACTGCATCTGTGCCCACATTGGCAGGTCAGGGTAGTTCAACCATGTGAATATAACTCACTATCAAGGTTGTAGGAGAAACCATAGTGATGGGGAAGACATACATCCATTATTTGCTTATAACTGTAGCTCCTGAGCTCCCATCAGTGTGATTCCCCTTTACACAAATCAGGCAAGATGACACCATTAACTATCATGAAACATTTATGAATAGGATGCAAAGTAATAAGAATAAGAATAATCTTAATAATAATAATAATAATAATACATAGTACAATAGTCCACTCATAAACCTGGTTCATGCTCTTCCAGCAACCTATTAGGGAGGAAGATAGGGGAATGAATCTAGGTGTCCCGGGCAACTCAAAACTCTAGACTGAAATCCTAAGGTCTTATGAATACATATTTAGAGTTGGAATGGACCTCAGAGATTGTTTAATACAACCCTCATTATTTTACAGATGAGGAAATTGAAACTCAAAGAAGTTGACTTGTCCAGAATTATTTAGCTAATAAGTAAGTGTCAGAAGTAGGATTTGAACCTGGGTCTTCTTGTCTTCACACTACATTGCCTTTTAAATTTAATCAATACAAGCTTGTGATCTGAACTGAGTGGGAATTTTTTACTCATGGAGAATAATTAAAATCTGCAATCTCCATCATGAATGCGCTTCAGTGGGTTATCCATCCTTCAGGCAGAAGGTAGACACACATTGATCCAGTCAGCATAGATTACACACAGCCCTGGATATTTAGACTTGTTATTGTTCAGTTTCAGTCAGTTGAATGCTACTTGTCCCTATAAGAAATTGGGATGCTGACTGCTTGGGGGTCATGTTAACCAGTAAGCATGCAAATTGTTCTACCAGCAAAGAATAGCCATGGAACAATGCTCCCTCCCTTTAAGGATGCATGCATCACTTGTTAGATAAACCCACTCCCCTTCTGGGTCTCTTTGATCTACTGCTGGATAAAACCACTTCTCTAATACTCTTGGATTGCCAAATTGGTGTTAAGCTCTTTTAGCAAACAGAAGCCTTAAGCCTGGCACTTGAAGAACTTCTCAAGTCTGCTACTTTGGCTGGGTACTGAAGCAGTGTTAACCCTTCAGTGAAAAGCCGTTTCCTTAAGCCTGGATCTCCAAAACTATTCAAGTCTGCTCTCTGGGCTTTGAGGAATTTCTCACCTTTCGACTATAGTAGATAGTAAAAGAAAATGTAGGCAATTCCCTGAGGGACTTATTCGCTCTCAAACTTTGTATGGCCTTAAAGGCAAGACAGCTCTTCAAAAAAGCAGAGCATTTTGTTTTTCTGCATCAGCTCCTAGAATCAGAGATTTCATTTAATCAGATCAGCTCCTGGACTCAATTGCAGAGTCTGTGCACCTCTAGTCAGCTGGGCTTAGTTCAAGTCAGTTCTTCTGACAATTATTTATCTTCATTGCCTTCTGCAGCCTTTTCTCAGCTTCTCTTCTTCTGGTTTCTGTGACTATTTTGACTTTGACATTGACTTCTGTCTTTCTGGCCACAAATTAGGCCACAAATTCCTCATATATAGGGACCTGCCTCTATCCTGGGTTGAGAAACTCCAAAACCACATTTTTGTAAGATATGACATAATCAATATACAATATTCCCATAGTCCCCCAACAGTTCTTTGATTCAGTTTCCCAACAATAAACTTCAAAATCCTGAAAAGTCATATGTAAATCAATTTCAGTTTACATTATAATGGAGGTATAACTTGTACATTTGTAAGTATATATGAAGGGAATAAATACAAATAAATGCAAATCCATTTCTCTTTCTACCATACCATTACTGTCTTTCTCTTATGTTTCTTTCCTCTCTATATACTGTTTTTTCACTCTTTGCATCTAGCAGCCTCCTAGCAAGTCTCTAGTATTGGAGGTGAAGCAAAGTCAAGTATAACTTGAACATTTTTCATTGAGGGATATGTATGTGCAGAGGCCTGAAATCCTTAGAAACTATCTGATATTAAGAGAATTTATCCAGTGGAGGCTTCTACCTTGTAGGTAGAAGGAAACTTGGTTATTTTATATGATTATAGGAATAAGTTTCCTGGGAAATGAAATTTCTAGGTAATTAAGAGTTTGCCTGAAAACCCATTTAAACATAACCCTAGCTGGAAAAAAAATAGCTAGCATTTATAAAGGATTTTAAGGTTCATAAAGCACTTTGAAAAGCTAGGTGGCACAGTGGATAGAGTGCAGGACTGGAGTCAAGAAGACTCAACTTCCTGAGTTCAAATATAACCTCAGACACATTCTAGCTGTGTGATCCTGGGCAAGTCACTTAACCCTGTTTGCCTCATCTGTAAAATGAACTGGAGAAGACCCCAAATGGGGTTATGAAGAGTTGGACATGTCTGAAACGACCAAACAACAACCGTATTTTCTGACTTCTTGCTTCCTTCAAACCACCTAGTACAAATTATGCATTTAGTGGATGCTTATGTATATATATATATATATATATATATATATATATATATATATA